TCTGGAAGATTTATAACGAATGCTGCTACTGCATGGTGGCATAGATTACTCAAGAGGTGAACGAGGTTTTGACAGTTTTACAGTTTCCCTGAGGTGCATGCTATCCACAGTATTTTAATCCAATTATTGTGCACAGTGTTCTTTTGACCATTTATTATCTGTTTTGGGATTGCTGCATGAAGTGTTGTATATAGTCAGTGATCAAGGCATTTTAGTAGTTTCTAGAGAAATGGGGTTTAGAGAGAAATGGGGTTTACGTTCATTTGTTCACTTGCTTCGGTTAGAAGTGAATTCTGTCACATTTCAGGAAATACATGTACGGATAGGCAGAGATGGTCAGGTTTCATACATTGTGGGTAAGCTCAAGGCTCTTTAGTGGCCATCCCAAATCTACCTAGTAGTACCTCTTTTATATGGTTTTGACTGTCGTGGGTTGGATACCTGTCATTGCAAGATTTTCTGTAATCAGGTGACACTTGGAGTGGCTGTTGCAGAGTATCTTGCTTTTCTTCATACTCCATCCCCCTATCTTCACTTACTCTTCATAGTACCTACTATTGGTCTGTAGGAAATGAAGGAGTTTTTGAGGTGTTTTTTAGCTTAGATGAATAACTCATTCCTTAGAAACTTTTCTCTTAAGGCAAAACATGCCTACTTTGGCTGAAAAATCACAGGCTGAAAAGGTACACGTATGTGTACCAATCCAGTTCGTGGTAATGAGGGAGTTATTTCCTGAACTGAGGCAAGGAAAGGGGGGAGTTGGGGGTATGACTTGGAGCAGAAATAGGTGGTCCCTCCAAGAATGTGAATTCCCACTTAGGCATCCTTGCTGCCCACAAAAAAAATTGACTATTAGTTGGCAATGTCTTGTCTCTCTTTGGTTCTTAATATTTTGAACTTCTTTAGTTTCTTCTAAGCTGAGCCTTCTTATTGTTTATAAAGAGCTGCTTTTAAACGTTTCTCAAATCAATGGCTACATCTATGTATGGCAGTCTGTGTTCTGAAGTTTGCTGGGATAATGGATATACTTTTCATTAAAGGAAACATGAATATACTTATAAAGAGATTTCTTATATTTTTGTCACTTCTCAGTTCTTGCAGAAATTTTAGAAACTTACTTATTGTTTTAAAAAAGTCTGAGATGTTAAATACTAGAATCATGCTGAAAGTAAATTTTGAAGTCAATATTGACTCTACAGAGGTAGAACTTGAAAACAGATGTTGTTAGATCAAACTTAGAAGCATGAAAAAAAAAAAAGGGGGGCAGCAATCTCTGGCATCAAAGGCTTTAATTGACTATGCATTCACTTGAACTGAAGAGGCATAACACATTTTCAGTTTCTCCTTATAGTTGCTGTTGTCTCTTGTTAGCCATAATTTGACACTAACACTGTAGAATCAGATGTGCAGGCTCTCTAGCTCTGATGAATGACTTCCCATCCCTCCTCCTCCTGGGATCTAACCTGAGAAACAAGTTAGTCTTGTAATGTCACTAAACTTCTGGAATGGCCTTATCGGTGCAGTTTTACTGAAGTATTACATTTGTTTAGTAGTCATAATACTGTCTGATTGTCAGTGACACGGGGCTTGATGGACTTTTAGAATACATTTTCCCCTACTTTGCAGGTTACCTCCAAATACCTGAAAAACAAAATCTTAACAAGAACACGCTTGTGCAAAAGGGAATGTTTATTCCATGAATAAAAAGTAGAATACACTAACTTCTTTGTGTAAGACCCTGTAACGGAGGTGTGTTTTGTCTTTGGGTTTGGAAGAGGCCTTTCAGAGTCAATTCACCAAAAGCCTGTAATAGGCAAACCTGGTTTTTTTTTTAGCATAGGAAAGCATTCAGTGTTTGTGGATCTTACAAGTACCACTTCTGATGTGACCATTTGCATTGTTAAACAATGAAAATATGTTCTCATCTACTAGAAGCTATTTTTACTGTTTTATTCTACCTATTTGCAACCTGACTTGGAAGTCATCTAAAGAAGAAGATACCACTCGCGCGCTTTGCTATTGGAATATGCTGTTCTCCAACATGGGGTGCAACTTTTGTTGGTAGCGGTCAACATACCGGAGAAGCAGAAAGCTGAAGTCCATTGATAATTAGGGGAATAAACAGGGCAAAGTCACTGCTCCGGGAGGGGCAGGGTTTTGATGGTTTGCACAACTGAAAGTCAGGTGCTATTGCAATCAGCAGCTGCTGCAAAGTTGTGGGTGTTACGAGATGGAAACCATTGACTGCAGCACTGATTATCTAAACAGCTCTTTTGTATGCTGGCAGCAATGGAATTTCTCTTCCTTCCGTTTTCCAGGTGACTTATTATCAAGTATGACAGCTTGTCATGTGTGATCATCATCACATTAGTCTCGTGAGAATAGGCGCTCTTCTGAATACCCTCATCCCTTCCATATACAGGGTGAAGCACAGGTTAAAAAAAGAGTTTGTACTTGCATATACTTGTTGCGCTTGACTGTGAAGCAGCGGTTTGGTCGTTCAAAGAGGCGACCTTGAAGGGACTGACAAGGCATTAGTGAGTGTCTGTTCATTAACCAAAAGGAGGAACAGTTTGCTCCTCTCTGGAATTTATTGTTCAAAGTGGCAAAACGAGACTGTTTGAGAAGGGATTTAAGAAGCTAAATAAAGTTATTCTCAACATAGTGATGATGATCTGTGTGGTTAAGTAAAATGGAATTAAAGTGACTATTTGTTCCTTTAAACTGCTCACATAAATGTAAACATTTTACACTGACTTGTGCATTGGTTTAGAAAGATTTTGTCTCTCAGATATCTATTGAGTGCTGAGGTTTTTAAGCATTAGCACACATTCAGTGGGTTGATTCTGTGGATTTTTAAATTAACTTTTCAAATATAGGAAACCTTGTAAGCTTATTTCCTAGTGTTTTTTTAAATACAGAAAAAGCACAGTGTATTTTACTACACATCTGTGTGTGTTAACTAGTATTGTTGCTTTTATGGTTTTCACACACTCTGATATGAAACCTACTGATACTACATGTTGATTATGAAGGAAAGGGGAAGGCAATACAACACTTAAAGTGAGTTCAAGCAGATTTAAATAGAGATGAACCAAAGAAAATAGGCAGTTGTTCATAAGGCCAGCAAATTATGATTTAGTGTCATCAATACAAGAATGAAGACATGCTAGAAAGCTACACTGGATGTTGCAGGACTTACCTGAAGATTTGGCTGTGAAATATAAGTGATGAGGAAGAAATGAAGTCATGTGATACCAACATTACAGATGTAAATCTTTTCCCTTTTTATTTTCTTCTACTGAGTGAAGAACATTTGTAGAGCAGAACAATGTCTAGATGCCAAGGTAGAGCTGTAGGCAGTCACTGTAGGTGCAGAAAGGGTGAGATAGGTTGGAGAGTCATCAGTATTTGGGTGCATGAGTAAGAAACAGTGGACATGGGCAATGTAATCAGAAGGTTGGCCAGGGGGTGATCTTTAAATCATGGCTATGAGAGAATGTGAAGTCCCAAAAAAGAATTCTAAGGAATATTCAGAAGTAAGAGGGCTAAGAAAATGTGGTTTTGGTAACTCCGTCGCTGATACTGTTGAAAGTAGCAGGGTGCAGGGCTAATGGGGACTGATAATTGACCCATAACTTACGGAAGAAAATGGCTGGAAGGGGCATTGCTTAGCAAAGGGAAGTTTTGTGGTCAATTTTATTTATTTGTTTTTTTCAAGAGTAAGTTGATACAAAATTCACTTTTATATTTGTGTGGATATAACAGAGATCCATTTTATCTCTAAGCAGGACATTTTGAGGAACTGGGAGAAAGAAAGAAGAAAATTTCAGTGGTAGGCTGTTGATTCAGTGATGTTTGGTGAAAATAAAACAGCAGTTAATGGAACGGTTTTTGTAGTGTGCTTTAAGAATGGGATTGAAAGCTGATGGAAGGAATAAAGATGAGCAAACCCAAAGAAAAAGCAGATAAATAGCAAGAGTTTTGAGTTGGAACTCTGTCCCAGACATCTAGTCTTTCCATTAGTACCCATCCCATAAACCAGTTACTTGAGTAGTTACCTTGCCGTACGGCCTTATATTGGAAAGGTTGACATTCAGCAGGCAGTTCCTCAAATATTCAAATGTTTTAAATAACTTGGCTTGCTTGAAAACAGTTTTGTGTCTCTGTTTTGCTGTAGCAAAACAAATTAAGACGATTGGGAGTCTATGTAATCCGGAATGATATGGCTGAAACAATTTCTTGTTACCAAATATCTAGAGTCAGCACACGGAATATGTATTCGTGATCTCAGACCATGGCATGTGTATTTCTGGGGATATGCAGCCATTTCAGATTCCTAAATGACTTGATTAGGGGATGAGAATTGACAATTGACTGACAATTGTGGGGTCCTTTGTCTCTATTGTTACTTGTGAAGCCAGTCTTAAATTATTTCACTGTGGCCTGTAGACTCCTCATGAACAGTGAAATGATGCACAGTTAATAGATTTTGGGACTCTTCACTGATGTCATTACATAGTTGCTCTGAGTATTTTTGTAGATTTTGCAGGCATCAATATCAATTTTATATTTTGCTACTAAAAACCAAGCTTATGCCTACGTCTGCTTTGTTTTGGTGTAGTTTGATAATGAGTGTATTAGTTTTAATGACTGCTTGTTTATGTGCCTTGGTTTGATTTTGGTCTTAAATTTAAGATAAGTTTGTTTTTAAAGCTGTTGCATGTATTCTGTTTCTGGCTTTACAGTTCTAATTTTTTTAATATATTCATATTTCAAGCACCTATTCTATCTCATATAGGACTGGAAGTTTATGTGTTTCTGGGTTCATATAATAAAACTTTTGTAATAAGTGCCCTTAAGGGATCATACTTTTTATGTTGCTATCTGAAATAGAACTTTCACCCTGAATTCCTTAATGGAACATGATATTGAAATATTAACTATAATCTACCTTATTTGAAATACTATATTTGAATAATTTCTCTGGTTTCTTTTAGGGACTCAACAACAGCTTATAGCACAACATGCTTTGGAGAAAGAGGCTTTGGAGAAGATTAAAATAGAAATAGAGGAGGAGCTAAAACATCTTGATGAAGAAATCTTGGAAGGTGCTCTTCAGATTTTCCCATTTCAGTCGATAAACTCTGTGCACTATAATGGTGGTTAATTTGTAACAGGCACTCTAGTTAAAGAGATTTTTGGATGCATTGAAGCTCTTTACCATCCTCCCCCCACAAGATTTCTACACATTGTCACGTGAAGTCAAATAGTTAAATGTTACCGTTTGGAGTGGTGGAGTCTAGCCAAAGCAAACAATTGAATGACATTTAATAGGCTACTATAAATAATGAAATGCAAGCAGCTCTTGAGCTGCTCCAGTTGATGATAGAAGTGAAATCATTCCTCAGCAGCTAACATTCAGAGGAGTGTGGACTTAAACCATCAGATTTCTCACTTCCACTAGGTTTATTTTTTTTTACATGCTTCGACCTGTAGATGTGGCTTTTATAAGACTCCCAGTAAGGGATGGTTTGGAAACAACCTTTGCTTTGCATGTATGTTGCAAATTGGATATCTGAAGTAGAAAGGCTCTAGATCTGTTTACATTCATCCATATAGACCTTTCTTAGAAGTTTTGAACTGAGAAGGAACAGATTAGATGAACAAAATATTATTTTAAAAAATGATACTCTAGTACTGCTGCAGATATGTCCACATGCCGGCAAATTTTACCATGGAAAAGTGGCTGTCTTGCTGCTCCATCAGGGTTGGCATCACCTTAAAATTGAGACTAGCTGCACATTCAGCTAACTTGCTGGTTAGGATGCTGGTTAGCTGTGAAATAAGAGCTGGAGAGGAAGCATAGCTCAAAGTCATCTATGGCTTGTAAGTACTGCTTCCAGAATATATTTGGACTATACTTATTTTACTACAATTTGTTCATAGCATGCTTTGACTATAGAGTTGGGATTTCTTCATCCCTCATGTAAACTGTGTTAGCTGATGGGATAAGAAATCTAAGACTGTTGATTCTTATATGAATCTATTTTATTTTGTATACTTTTTTTCTCTCAGCATTTACCACTACGGGATTTGACTGCCACACTTCCCCAGTGTTCAGTCCTGCCAATCCAGAGAGCTCAATAGAAGACTGCCTGGCTCATTTGGGGGAGAAAGTGTCCCAGGAATTGAAAGAACATCTGCACAAAGCACTGCAGAGCTTGCTTAGCAAGTGAGTTTCCATTTGCTTTTTCAAAGAGGAAGGTATTTACTTTTGCATTGTGACTGCTGCTGAAATGCTAAAGATGGGACTACATTTTGTATTGCATTTCTTTCTTTTTCAATGTTCCTTTATCTGGCTGTTTTTTTGTTTTGTGTTGTAATGTGCAAATAGTTCTTTGTGGTATTTGCTCTTTACAGTAATGTAAGTTCTAAATTTTTTTCTAAGCTTTTATCATTGAACTTCTGAGACTAATTTGAGTTGCTGGTGAAACTAGCAGCTGGCAGCTGCCAATTGCCATTGCCAATTCCATGAGTTCTGGGCTGTAGCCAGATTAACTTATTTTACCTTATAGATAAGAGTGGAGCTGAAGGTTTGTTGGTAGTCTGGCTAAAGATGAGTAGGAGAGTTTCCCTGGAAGGACGGTACTTAGATGTGTACCATTCAGGTACACATCTGAAGCACATGTGGGCCGCTGGGCTAACCTTGGTGCCTTAAGAGCTGTCCTGCCTGTTTAAGCTTATTGTTTAAATAGCACGTTGTATTTGCATTAGCAAATAGGTATCTGAGTCTGTTTTGTGGATTGGTTTAAATAGCATGGCTCAAAAGAAACCAAAAATCTCTAGTACTACTCTTTCAGAGTTTGCATAGCTGTTCACAAACTGTTTGAACAACAAGGTACTGGAAGACTAGAAATCAGTACCTAAAACTTTCTGATGCATGGGGCTTAAGCCTTCCATACAAGCATTGGAGAGGGATCTCATGCCCTCGTTAAGGTAATACCTTTTATGGCAGACTTCTGGAAGATTATGAATTTGGAAGTCATTCCATCTGAGCATCAGGAAACATGTTTTTACTGTGAGGGTGACTGAGCACTGGCACAGGTTGCCCAGAGGGGTTGTAGAGTCTCCATCCTTGGAGATATTCAAAAGCTGTCTAGGCAGCCTGCTGTAGGAGACCCTGCTTGAGCAGGGAGGTTGGTCAGGATGTTCTCCAGCAGTGCCCTTCAACCTCAACCATTTTGTGATTCCTTAACTAGCCCATCTATTCCTTAACTAGTTCTCTAGTCAACAACTAAGGGTTGACTCTTTATGACCAATGAAATTTAAAAATGGCTGTTGAAGGTCAGGTAGGTCAGGGCTTTGGGCAACCTGATGTAGTGAAAGATGTCCCTGCCCATGGTCTTCAAAGGTCCCTTCTAACCCAAACCATCCTATGATTCTATGACTGACCTGGATTTCACAGCAAAGGTGCCAAGTAACATCTGACCAGACAGATGAATGTGGTTGTCTCATTTTTCATCCAAGGGAAAAGTACACTCTGTCAACTTGGCATTTAACTTTCAGAAACTAATATATATACTGTCTGCTTCTATATGAACTTTCTGTAGCATCAAAAATTAAGTTCAGTATTGTGTAAACTAACAATTATTTACCCACAGAAAAGAATATGTGGGGTACAAGTTTCTCCTTAAGCGGCAGAAGATACGCTAGTGTGTTCCTCCAGAAATAGCAGAAGCTTATCTGCCTTTACAAGCCAGGCATTTGTGTCATGTGGCCTTAAAAACTTGTACTTGGTATCTTCTAAAGAGCTGAAGTTTTGATAAATACCTCACTACACTAAAAATACCTCACTACACTAAAAATACTAAAAAAACAGACTGGTAACAAGTTGGAAAATTAACAGTAAGCTTTGCAACCCATCTTTTTTGTGTGTCTAAAATGATAAATTGAAATAGCAGCATTTTAAGTTTAAATGTCTTAAAGATTGCAGATAATTGTTTTTGGAAAGTTCCTCAGATGAAGTCTTTGAAAATTAAGTGGTTCTAGCTTGTTAGTAGCCTAATGTTCTAGGCTTCTTGTGTTTTCTGT